TGAAGGGTAAAAAAAGAATATAATCGAATTCAAATTATGTATGATCGATCCACCAACGCTAAAAAAACCATTCAAAGAATTCAAACTTTTTTCAATCCTCAGAGAAATAATTAAGAAAGGATGTTAAATGACAATAAAACAATTGTTATTTTTTAATGTATAGTTATTATATATATTCATATATATTTTTTTTCAACATTACATTTTTTATTTTTCACATTTATAATTTTACTAACGGTATGTTTGTTGGTTTTCTCATTTTATTAAGTGAAGTCTGCACTGCAAACTACAAATAATTCAAAAATTGGTATGTACAATCTTGTTAATCACGCGCAATTTTTAAAATCAGTTTCGTGTTGTTTTTTTCTTCCATGTATACTTTATATGCACGCATGTCTTACATTTACTTTCCGTTGGAATTCGAAAATGATGTGGATGCATTATCTGAGCGAGGGTGAAATTTGGTTTTACCGATGGTAAAACACATTCATAAAAAGATATGACAAGACTTTTAAATTGCAAATATTTTTTAGTGAAAAAAATTGCTTACTTCAAGAGAAATGATTTTGATCTGCGGGTTTTTATCTTCGGATATGCAATGCTCTTTTCACAAGGATATTTTATATCCCTTTGAATCAGTCACCATCACTTCTCTTTAGTATAAAGTACTGTATTATATACTATGAGATTACAAAAAAGTTCCTTTTTTTTGAATATTAATGGTGTTCAGCTGGCGAATGTCAGACTACAACCAGATATTTCTACTTGTTATAGAAAACTTATATGATATCTTTGCGCACACTCGCACGTTTTTTTAATCATCGATTTATTATTTTTAATTTACAAGTAAATTTTTTTTCTTTCTCTTTCATTGCGTTGATCATTGAATTTTTTTTCCATTTATGTCGATCTTATTCATTATTGTTATTTTTATGATTAGTCGTTTAAATTAGCTTAACTACTTACAGTGCATTGCTTATAAGTCGAGAAAATGTCATTGTTTCATAGAATACACACGTAGATTTTTTTAGAAATGTTGTTTTTGTTCTAAACTTTTAACATTCTTCAAAACAAAAGCCGTCGACTTTAAAATTTTTCTTCTCAAGCAAAATCATATTATCTATGGTACCTAACTGCGTACTATTAACAGCATTATATATATTTTTTTGAATAATGCTAACCTTCTGTTGTTTTCTTATGACATATAATTTAATAAATTCTAATAGTGTCTAGTAGTTGTCAGATTTATCAAAGATTTTACAGCTGCTTTGAATATATTCATATATAAATTTATGTACATTAACAGTTGCTCAAATTCTCATCGATCGTAATAAATAGTATCATGTAACTGAAATACATAGTTTTCATAAATACATTTTTTACAATATGTATATACATTTGAGTAAAGAACATATATATATTTATAGAAATTTCAATATTTGTATAGTACAATTATACACTTAAGTTTTGTCATTATTATTATTATTATTATTTATCATAGTTATTATTATAATTATCAATTTATGAACGTAGTGAATGTGTTTCATTTTTATAATATTCACAATTTTTCGTTAATATTTATTACGAATAATAAAAAATTCATTGTGCTTTGGTATAGTATTTTAATCATTCCACTTTGTAACTTATATTATTGTTTTTCATTATTTCTTTTCAACTTTCGATACACACAATAAGGCGAAATAATGGAAAACTCATACATTATACTTTTTTTCGACAACAATAATTATTAAATAAATTCATAAAATGGAAACGATTTTGGTTGCTTACAATAGTATGGCCTTTCGTAAGTTGCCATCTTGATCCCATTGAGTTTTGGTTGATCTATTAAATATCTATCAATTATATATTTTCATAATAAATTATCACTTCAAATTTAATACTTTTTTCACGTAGCGTCAATCATATTTCTTTTGTTTTGTTTTTTTCTCTAAAAACATCGACTCGAATACTCGCTTAAACATTTAATAAACGTGGTAATTCCATTTTTTGATTTTATCCTTAAATCCTACGTATAGAAGAATTGCTCGATTATACTCGCGTAACACTAACGGACTAATGGTGACTGTGCGCATTTTGCTTCGGCATATCAAACTCAAAGATTATTACACATTACGAGTGTGTACTTTATACCTCTATTTATGTTATATTTATTTACAGCGAATCTCACAACAGAAGTAAAATTTTTTTTTTTTACTAACGACGGGGAGGCTACTTTTTTGTGCCTACAGATAAGCGAGAGATCATACAAGGACGAAGTGTACAAGCGAAGATGCACGAAAATCGAGCTCGTATATAACACGTGTAGTATATGTATGTGTGTGAGTGAGGATCGGGCGTGTGCACGGTACGATTCTCGTGCAGATTAAACACACCTTAATCATATCGCGCGCGAGCGCCATGTATTATTCACGTTCCGCAATTTCGCTCGTAAGCCCCGACGCTGCATCTGCCCGTTACAATGTTGTACAGCGCAACACGTAGATCTCCGGATCGCGGCGAAGGAACGGGATAAATAACACAGCTCGTGTCTCTGATGAATGACCACGTGTGTGTGTAGCTAGTCCAGCTTCTAAATATTCCAACCGATACCACGCGGCGCGGGGGCCTTCTCGTACGCGCGCTCGGAAAGAGACTTCGTGACGTTCGCGCGCAGCGCGGCAAAACAACATCGACGAGAACGAAAAAGTTGCGAGGGTAAGAAAAAAAGGGAACGGCATGATTTGTTCGCGGGCGAAATTTTTTTTATTTCTAGCTCCTTTTTGAATTGCAAAACGTACACTCGGGGGCAGAGGAGGGTTTATACACGTATACGTATACATAACGGATGGAGGAAAACGAGAGAAGGAGAAATTCCGTACATATACGCTTCCGCCACGTGTTTGCATAATAACTTCTTTTTTCGCGTACGGATTATTGGATTTTTATATTTCACCCGTATACACGTTGAAGAACTGTCGTGCAGCTCTCTCTCTCGCTCACTCACTCAATCTTTTTTTTTTATTATTATTATTTCGGTAAAGAACTGCGGGTAAATTATAAAAATAAGATGCGGATAGTGGAAGTAGCAGCAACGGCAAAAAGAAGAGAAAGAAAATATGAACCGTGCCAAGTCATTAGAATGGAACGCCGGTGGAATATTTAAACATTATAGATCGCGGGAAGCTGCACGTAATAAAGAGAGAGAGAGAGAGAGGCAAGGAATTCGGATGACACGGCGTCCTCGCATAATCCCACGCTCGATGTATCTCATTTTTATTTTTCTCTCCTCCATTAAAATACGATGGAAACGCGAATTAGTACAAGCGAGAGAGCAGCAGCGGCGGCATTGCAGCGCAAGTGCGTGACCAGTGGTGGTGGTGGTGGTGGTGGTGGCAGAAGTTTCCACTTTTCGGCTGATGCTATACTTCGAGCTCTGAATCGAGTTTCACGAGACTCGGTCGGCCTCGGGAAACTCGACTTAATTGCGAAGGTATACACAGCGCGTTAACGGTTCATTAACCCCTCGCGCGCCTCGCGTCGTCGTCGCCGCCACCCGTACCCTACTTCCAGAACCCGGCCGGCTGATTCTCTCCTATTATACATTATGTGCTGCGCCGGGGCCAAGTTTTAACCGAAGAGGAAGGAGCTGCTTTTAATTCTGATGCTGCTGCTGCTGCTGCACGAGAGAAAGAGCGAACATTTTAAATATTTCGACGAATTATCGCGGGAAACCAAAAATAAAGAGAGTCGGAGCGAAGAGCGAGAAGATGTTTTAAAGTGTACAGGGCTCGGTGTCGTATAGCTGAAAAAAATGTTGGGAATTGAATTCCGTGTAATGTATTATTTTACGAAGTTTCGCGTTTCCGTGCATCGCGTTGTACACCTTATACAAAGCTATATACGCTACAATTATATATTTTATTTACATGTATCATAATAATCGCGTTCGTTGACCGTTATAATTGATGCAATAAGGCAAATGTAAAAAATGACGTCTTGTTGATTTTCGTATCGTGTATACACATTAGTCATATATTTGTGATATTGATGGCGAAGTACAATTTTTTTCTGCGTGTTAATTGCACTTTATTATATGTAAATCAAATATTTAACCTTTGTAATTGCAACTTTATTGAATTCGTTCGTTAGTTTCTTTTGTTTTCATTTATTCATTCAATTTTCGTGTGTATATCTTTGATTTTGCACGTGCAAAGTTATTTTCCTCGTCGCGAGCGCGTGAAATTTTGAAAAAGTCGACTTTTCATTTCTATTGATTCACTGGGAGGAAGAGGTCAAATCGAAAGTGATTCTTTATTCAGAAAATTGTTAAAAAGTTTCCGGAGCAAATCGAAGTGAGGTTGGAATTAGTTCGAAGATTCTTTATTTACTTCTTTTTTTGTTCAACGGCTTTCATTGGTCGGTTTTGTTCGTGCGAAAATACATACTCAAATGCGTTCGCTTGCAAAATTAATAATTTTTCTATTTCGTGCCCGGTTTGCCAAATCAGGAGCATTTTGTAGCTAAAAAAGTACGTTCGAATAATTGTAAAAGCGTATATATTATTGAATTTTATCGAAAAAGCTTTCAGTTCCAATCGAGGTGAGTCTTAAAGTTATTATATCTATATGAACGTGTGTATTTTTTTTTCTTTCACTACATACTAAATAACTTATAGAAAATGTCGATGTATTCGAATATGGCATTTTATGTACTTATTCATTTTTTTTTCTATTACTCGCTAACTTTAATCATTAAAATCTGAAGTACATACATATACTCTGTTTTATTTTAAAAGTTTTTTTTTTTATCAAGATAGACGTGTGATCAACGCACGCCAACTTTTTCGCGGGCCATATTTATATAATATAATATATTCATCGCTCGCCTAATGCAGGCGAGTTTAAATCTTTTTTTACTTATAGGTCGCTCTAACACACATATACTCGCACACACTTGTAGGAAACATTTCGTTTTATTTGTCAGTAACATTATTTATTTATTTATATTTTGTTTAAAGAATTTATTGGAATAAACGTCCGGTTTTTTTTGTCAACCTATATTTATAATTTACGATAAGTATACAAACACTCAATGGCATTCGTATTTATGTTAGGAGTACAATTATAAATTGTTTTTCGTAAACAAGAGTTCTTTTTTCTATCCGCTGGCTCTTGGTAGTTTTTTTTTCCTCTCAACGCAAAAGCCGACCGTGCTCCTGTCGATTTAGAAATTTTCTCGTTTTTTCTATACTATCGAAATGGATTGTCATTATCGTGATGAAAAATTTCGAAGCTTTGCCTTGGATTGATAATAATCTTACGTTTATCCTCTACATATCTCAAGAGTACTCGTCGACGTGTGTTCCTGTCTAACGGAGATCTCAATTTTAAGATTGCGTATGGGTGTGATATATATGTGTATAAGACACAGTGACACATAAAAAAAAAGAAATTTCCAAAGAGCTTGATCTTTCTCGTCTTCTTTTTTTTTCTTTTTTTTCCCCTCGTATATAATGCACGCGAACCGGATGAGTTTCTCAAGTGGTCGTTTGAAGAAGGGTTAAAAGATAAGATGTTTCGCAAACCCCTCGCGCGTCTCTCGCGTGTGCAGATCGCGTACAAAATTTATGTATTCGCGCGTACGCCTTAAATGTTCATTCTTGAACAGTGTTGCGCTCAGCGATGGAAAATCGGGTGGAAAGCGCGTGCCCTAGGTATTCGATCCAAAAAGTTGACGATGATAATTTTTTTTTCGAGATTTCTATGCAAAGTAATTCACGATGAAACTTGTTCCTAATTTAAATTTTTTCTTCCTTTTCATCTATACGATCTCAAAGTATTGCAACATTTTTCGAGTCAAGTAACTGATTTATTGAAAAAGTTTGACTTTGAAAACTCCAAATAAGAAATAAAATGATCTAAGAGAGTATATTAACGACGATTGTCTGCTTGATTGTATATTGATCAATTTTATATTTTGATTAAAAATCTTCGAGTCTTGAAATTGTTTTTTTTCCTAATTTTCAAAAACCCAAAACTACTGATAATTCAATCATAATTGCTGTTAATGTAAGGGTAAGATGAGTGAGTTAATAGTATTTGTCTAGTCAATGTACAATTTAGTCAAAACAAAAATGAGGGGGGGGGGGCATTGTTTAGATAAAAATGACAATTGAAACCATCCCAAATGCTGATGTGTCTCGTAAAAATATTATTCAATTGCATAACTTAAAATTCCTATGAATTTAACTTTTAACAATATCTATTAGATATTTATTTCACTGCCATCTGGTGGTCAGTCGATTCTCTAAATATTGTATCATTTGTTGATTATTGATACGTACAGTTAGTTTTTTAGGCGAATTCATGCGAAATTATATTTCTCTTGTCGTGATTTTATTTTGTTTAGTCGCTGTGACAGTCTTATTAGTAAAATTTGCCATTATAAATACAGTATGTAATGAACTTTAAAAAGCTTGCAGTTTGAGAATAATTTTTACCTCTCTAATATTGGTCCGGAGGCTTTGTATCATAGAGTGATATTTTCGTTGACATATCCATATGACAAAAGAAAAATTAATATCCTCATTTTTATTTTTCAAGTTAAGTAAAGATAATTCTTCAGATTATTTTTCGTTTTTCCTCTTGAATGAATTTTTAGCTTCGAATTTTTTCATGTTTTTTTCACAAAAGTATTTGAATATGAACAATGCACGCATGCCCATTGACCCAAGATAAAACAGAATCATATATTTCACTGGGCAAAAATTTAGAGTTCCCACATAATACTCGTGCCCTTGGAATAAAGGCCGAGCCTTCATACGATACGGTGTCGACTCGACCAATTAGCGTGAACCCGCATTTGCAAATATTCACGTTATAATGTATAAAAGGGGTATAACATTGCGAGGCCACAACGAGGCAAACGAAAAAAAACCGAGTGGATTTACGTGAGTCCGTCCGTCTGTATCGAAAAGTCGAGAGGGAGAAAATAGCTAGATGAAAAAAAAAAAATTGTCATTCATCGAATCGAAAGGCACCATTGAATGTCGTGTTTCAGACATACACACGCTGTGCCTAATATGCATACGCATTATATTTTTGTATCAATATTTACGTACACGTGTTCAGTACACGCACACACATACGCATCGAGATCCAAGAATTCTTATCAATTTAACATGGTGAATAATACAGTGCGATCACTAGCGAGGATGTGCGGAAGAACGAGAGAATCGGCTGTTATTTCATGATAATTACACACGCAGTGGCTCAGACTCTCGATCTGTCGATCTGTCGCTGCCGCCGTGTCGTCGCACCAACCGTACAGTAACGGCAGCAGCGAGCAGCTAGTGGGAGGCAAGAAAACGAAAGATCTACATACTCGTGGGAGGGTAGTTATAAGAGTACACGGACGGTTATCTCTGCGCCTGCACTCGATAATAATGCTTCATTTTATATACTAATATAATATATATTTATAAACGATGAGTGACGTCCATCCGTTGTAGCTGCGCGCGAGACTTTAGCCGATTCATTTGGTCCGCTTTGATTTCTTCGCTTTTAAAGACACTCGGCTCGCCTCGCTCAGGTATGTGGGAGTAAGTCACGTTGAATTTTCCAGTTGAAACAACCTTTGTTTGTTCGCGTTCTCTCGTCTGCGTCTGCCCATTAGTATGCTTGATTTATTTTTTCTGTCTTCTTATTCGATGCGACGGATACCTGGAACAGAGTATTTTTATTTTATTTTATAACTTTACAAGGAGTGACAACAAAGGGTATGAATAATACAATAATGACGAAGCTCGTCGCTGTCTGTGAATATATAGGGGTAAGGCTCAGAATTTTTTAAATAAACCTGCGCTCGTATGTCACCGATCTTGACGCGCTTTTGGTATGTTATAGTACATGGTAAAAAAGACCCAAAACCAAAATATTAGACCCCCTCCCCCCTCCTACCCCCCACTTCCGGTATAAACGTCCATTTTCTATCTATATTTTTTCTGAAGGCCTGAAGCAATTAAAAAATCTGAAAAAATTCACAAAAATACTTTTCAACAATCCAAACAACCTTGAATTTTTTCAGATTTTTTGAGTGCTTCAGGCCTTCAGAAAAAATTATTGAAAATTTTGAAAATTCATATACGGCGCTACGATGCAATACAAAGCCCGATCTTTTTTTCCACTTATTTTTGACATCAAAATACATAACCTCAAATTTTTTCAGATTTTTTCAGACAGAGCGCTGGCGGTTTTTAGCCGAAAAACGCCCTTTTTTTACGAAAATAATTTTTTTAGGGCGATATGAAGCTTTAAAAAATCTGGAAAAATTTTTTTCTTGTTTTTCAGGTCAAAATACATAACCTTGAATTTTTTCAAATTTTTTAATTGAAGGCGATAGCATCTATGGCTAAAAAACGCTATTTTTATGAAAAACGGTTCCTGGAACCCAGAGGTTCCGGTAAAAAAATTTGAAAAAATTTTTTTCGAATTCCTTGTCAAATTTTAATAAATTTTGACCGTCGCAAAATTTCGATTGGAGCTTCCTAGCTCATTCTAGAGCATAACAAAGATTCGAGCGAAATTCTGAAGAAATTTGAAAAATAATGTAATTGTGATGAACGTCTTCAGAATTTCGCTCGAATCTTTGTTATGCTCTAGAATGAGCTAGGAAGCTCCAATCGAAATTTTGCGACGGTCAAAATTTATTAAAATTTGACAAGGAATTCGAAAAAAATTTTTTCAAATTTTTTTACCGGAACCTCTGGGTTCCAGGAACCGTTTTTCATAAAAATAGCGTTTTTTAGCCATAGATGCTATCGCCTTCAATTAAAAAATTTGAAAAAATTCAAGGTTATGTATTTTGACCTGAAAAACAAGAAAAAAATTTTTCCAGATTTTTTAAAGCTTCATATCGCCCTAAAAAAATTATTTTCGTAAAAAAAGGGCGTTTTTCGGCTAAAAACCGCCAGCGCTCTGTCTGAAAAAATCTGAAAAAATTTGAGGTTATGTATTTTGATGTCAAAAATAAGTGGAAAAAAAGATCGGGCTTTGTATTGCATCGTAGCGCCGTATATGAATTTTCAAAATTTTCAATAATTTTTTCTGAAGGCCTGAAGCACTCAAAAAATCTGAAAAAATTCAAGGTTGTTTGGATTGTTGAAAAGTATTTTTGTGAATTTTTTCAGATTTTTTAATTGCTTCAGGCCTTCAGAAAAAATATAGATAGAAAATGGACGTTTATACCGGAAGTGGGGGGTAGGAGGGGGAGGGGGTCTAAAATTTTGGTTTTGGGTCTTTTTTACCATGTACTATAACATACCAAAAGCGCGTCAAGATCGGTGACATACGAGCGCAGGTTTATTTAAAAAATTCTGAGCCTTACCCATAGATATTATCAACTAGGGTAAAGTTTCGTTTATCGAGAATTCGTTTATCATTTAACTTTAAAAAAAAAATTTCAAATTTTTTTATGTAGTTTTAACAATAGATTTGAATTATTTCATTGCCATTATTGCTCGAATAAAATTAACAATTATTGATCAAGCAGCCATTGACGAGAGAACGGTGAGAAACCGGGCGGTCTAACGTTTCATGAATTAAAAAAAATTTTTCTAAACACTTTTCACTCTGTATTTTTAATTTTATACTTTGCTGAACAGGTGATTTTCGTTCTCAATCACGGTTAACAATATGCGACACTCACCTTCGAGCAGTGTTTCAGCGTACGGCAGATGCGACGAGTAGTCCTCGAGCCAGAATAGAATAATAGCAATGGAAAAAGTCTGTCCCTCTCTCTCTTTCTCTGCTCGTTCTCAAGGCGACAGCGGAACCCCGCCACCGGCTCATTTGAAGAGTATCCTTCTGAAGGCTCGGCGAAAGTCCTTGTTGAAGACCGTGTAGATGACGGGATTGAGGGCCGAGTTCATGTAGCCGAGCCAGAAGGCGATCGCGAACGCCTGCTCGGGTATCGCCAGATTCGGGAACATCGGCTTGACGATGTAGAGAAAGAAGAAGGGCAGCCAGCAGGCGATGAAGCTGCCCATGATCAGGCCCAGTATGAGGGTGGCGCGCTTCTCCTTCTTGCGCGCCAGACGGCGCTTCTCGCGCTCGGGATCGCGCGGCTTCTGCGGCTTCTCCACGACGATGATGTCGCGCTGGCTGCGATTGTCGTCCTGGTCGCTGTTGAAGCTGCCGCCGCCGAAGTGCTGCTGCTGCTGGTGATGCGGCTGCTGGTGATGCGACTGCTGGTGATGATGATGATGATGATGCTGCTGGCGCATCTTCTCCAGGGCCTTGCGGCCGAAGATGGGCTTGCAGAAGCGCAGCTTGAGCGGCTTGACGACGGCGCAGCGCGACACGACGCCGCTGTCCGAGGACGACGGGTCGAGCTCCGACACCATGTCCACGTCGATGCCGACGGAGGGCGCGCGACAGCGCGAGGGAATGTTCGACTGGCCCTCGCCGTTCACCGAGAGCGTCGCCTTGAGATTCGTCTTCTGCGACATCGACAGCGGCATGCTCACCTGAGAGAGAAAAGCAACAAGTTCGAAATCGTATTAGACCAGTCATAAAGTATAATAGAAAAATGCATTTGCATTGCGTTCGATTAATTTAATAAAAATAATTATTTTTGAAATAGTTAAAAAAAAACTTGAATTATTTTGCGAGATATTGTTAAAATATAATTATAGTTTAAAAATCAATGCTCTTTAGAGCTTTTTCAATTCCATTATGCATAACAGTTTTAGCTGTGAAGCTGATAGTCATTAAGTGTTTTCAATCAGTTATAGCGAAGTGACGAAATGACTGAACTGCATAAAAATGTTCGAGAGTAGAAAAATGAATTAGCGCTCGATTTAGACTGCAACGCATAAAGTCGGTTTATAACGCGCGTAAATCAAGCGTGTATAGGTAACGTCCACGAGCTCTACGAGTAGCCCTACAGGTAAACGCTCGCTGCACATACGGCAATGCATTCAAAGTTATAACCACGATTTTAATGGCTTTAGCCAGTGCAGTTTAACGAGGCAAATATTGCAGATTAAAGTCTACGCGTATGTGCGCGCGCGTGTGTGTGTGTGTGTGTGTGAGGGTGTAGGCCACTAAGAGGTCGGTATAATAGCACAAGTAAAACCAAGCTAACTTCTCTCGTCTGTATACAAACACACACGCATACACACACGTAGCGATATAATGCTGCGGTGCATACATATAATGCATATATATACAACAGCATCTTCGACGAAAACGTGAACGCGCGCGCGCCCGGGCTATCCTCGCTTTTGGGGATGTATATGCGGCGCGGAGTTAGCTCCGCGTGCTGTTATACACCGAAACTCTCGGTTTTTGGCCGTTGCCCAGACGCCAGTCACTATATAATCTTATTAAGGTCGATGTTTATGCACTGATGACGCTTATATATACACGCCCGTGCTCGTGTGTGTGTGTATATACTGCACGAGCCGCAGAGAGAAGCTACTTCTCTCATACCTTATTCCTCTCTCATCGTATCTTTCGCGTATAATACTCACTTGCGCGGCGTGGTATACGTGTGTGTACTACACCCAAGCCAACGTATAATACGCTTATATACCTTTGGATAAAAGAGATTTTCAGCGAATTAAAATATTGGCGTGCTGCCTGTGCTTAAAGTAATAATAATGTGTTCGTAATTTTTTGAGAATCAAATGTAATGAACAAAACGACACCGTTTTGATCATGATTGAATCATCGCTTCTTTTCGCTGTATGACAAACGGTAAAAGAATGACGTTATGCATTGGGACTTCGCTGAAAAGATTACTCTAGTCTGTAAAGCGACGCCTTTACTCATGCAACCCGATATACGCGTTAGAACATTATGATCAAATCATCTCAAGATCGTAAAGTTACGTTACCTTTCTAACCGTATGCCAATGACTTGACGTAACGAGATCTTCTATTTAAAGTATAGAGAAGAAAAGCCTCAAGTATCAGTGTATATTAAATATTAATTGAATAATTACAATAATTAAATTAATGATTTTTTTTACACTCAAAGAATAATATTTAAATCATTGGGACGAACAACTAAATAAAATTATAAAACAGTAATTAGTATAAATGTTACCAGCAAAACCCGTTTTTATGTAAAAGCTGCTTTTGCCTAAAAAATTTTAGGCATTATGGATAATACCTAAATAAGTTAGGAAGTTCCTAAACTTTTTAAGGTATTGCAGATAAGTCCTACAAACATAGGCATTTCTGCTTTCGCCTAGGCAAAAAAGTTAAATATTTTTCTAAATTGATGTAAAGCATAGTAATACAATTTAATTGTTTGAGTTTATATCTGTCAGATCGTTTATTTTTTTAAACAGAGAGAAGGGAAATGCAATATTTTTCAGATTAATTACTTTTTACGGGAAAAATAAATTATTAGAGATAAAATATGCCGTAACTTATTGTAAGTAATTCAAAATCCTATCCTATAAAAGTGGTGAGGATTTTGGCGTTAGCATTTTATACGCGCTGTGATTGGTTGTTCAGTAGCTTGCTTTTGTTTTGTAGCGCGCAAATACGAGTATTATAGTAAGTTCAGAAAGTGGAATATTAACCTATGGACGGCTGAAGACTAATTTTGATTGGTTTTCTCGAGGAGACGCTGAGGTGAAAAGCCGACCTATTGCGTATTTTTACAGTTTATAACATAACCTTTATTTAATTTTTCTATTTTAAATATTGAAAAATGGCAAAACGGAATAAGAAAGAAGAGAGCGCGTGAAGCGCGCTGAAAGTCGGGCTAGTATAGTATTAAAATGTATGCGTATCTCTTTTGAAGTCATTTCCGCTCGAACTGAATTAAATGTACTCGTGTCACTTAATTTAAAGATAAAAAATTTTTTGCTTCTACGTGCAGTTACAAGCGCACTTCATGCTAAGAATTTTTATTTTTGTTTAGTAAGATGTATCTGATAAAGATGCGCACGATTGAAACGTTGAAGCATATATACAATTTCGACTTGTCTGTGTCTTATTGCATGGGAGAGAATATGCATCAGCCGTTATAAGCTTTCGATTCGGCAATTGGTGCTTCATGCGAACCATTGGTCGTATCGAGTCCGTGCGTATGTTTTGCAGCGTTACACGAGCGAAATATGTTGCTTATAAAGCAACGCGCCTGCACGTGCTGCACAATATGTGCTGCTGCTACTGTTGGTCGATTCCGAGGGTGGAATATATCACTTTTACTACTTACACGGCGCAAAAACACGACTTATCGTTCTCCATTGCGATATTCCGAAGTGATTTGCGACACGCGCTTCGTGTGTACCTTAAATTTTTTTTTTTTTTGGAATATCATGGTTACTTGAAATTTTTCATAATTTTTTCGATGAAAATTCTCAATGTAATTAAATAATACGTGTAGTAAATGAACACATTATTAGATGATTGCAGTAGCTGCTAGCCAATCGGCATTTACATTATTTTCAGCAGAGACTTCCGATAATACCATGAGATTCATAATAGGGTGTTAAAATTCTTGATTTTAAAAAATAAAATCTCTGCATAGTCCAGATAGTGAAAATAGATCATCAAATCATAAGCGTTCAATTTTTAGAGATAGATTGATTCCTCATTAGACTTAGGGCGAACCCTGTTTGCACTTTAAAAGTACATTTTATATTAAATTATATTTTAAAATAACATTTTTCTCTTGCTGAGCGCTATCCAAAAATTATTCAGGCGAAGGAATTCACAAAAAATTGTTTTTACGCCTATAAGAATCTGAAAAAAAAATGATTGAAACACTTATCGTCTTTATCATTGCGTCAAATTCACGGATGCGATGGTCTAGGCTTTCATTCATGCATTAAATCGCCCTGGTAAACAAAATTCCACGAGTAGGTCGCAAAACGAAAATGCATCAGTACCGTCACTCGCTCGCTTTTATTGTGCATGATGCATCGAGCAAAAAAAATCGCGCAAGGTACGCGCGGTCACGCCCTGCCGGTTACGGACATTTTCGCTTTCGGGAAAACTTCGAAATTGTACACGCGTGATCTGCAATGTTTTTCTCTCATTCTTTTATCCGTGAGATCGTGGTTGAGTACGAATGCGTGCCACGCGTAGCGCGAGGAACAATGCGACATCGTAAAGCGACGCTGCATACACGCGAGTCGTTGTTATTCTATTTTTTTTCGCCCGCCGTCCTTATTTTACAGTCTTAATAACCCGAAGCGAGTTTATGCTTCTCGAACGCCTCGAGAGCATACGCAGCCGTAAAAGCCGCTCCGGAGCTCTCGTGCAACGATCCGCGTTACACGTGGATATAATTTTTATAAATGCGCGCGAGCTTCATGCGTACGCGCGTTTCTATATCCTCCGATATGATGTGCTCGGGCACACTTTGGTACACCCATGCATACATACAAATAAACACACGAGCTAACAGCGATATCATTTATTTATATGTGTGTAGGTGTGTGTGGTATCTACGATGGTGGTGTATTGGCTATGCACGAGCAAGTTGCTTTGATGGTGCCGGATGCGACACTCTTTTTTTTTTCTTCCTCACCCTGCGATCGCGTGCGCGCACGACGAACAATATTATTCTCTATGGCTTCGTGCAACATATATACGCAGCTTGTGCACGTGTGTGCGTGTACTCGCTCAACGGAGAATTGAATTTTGCGGCAGAAGGTGGTGTACAAGCCAGAATGTACATATTCCATAATGTTTGTCATCGTTCGAATTGGCCCATAACATTTTTTCTTTTTTTTTATATTTCATGCGAGTTTACTCTCTATCTCTTCCTTCTTTTTTTCGTAGCATCTTTGGGTATTACGTGTACGAGAATTTAAGGGGTAAAAAAATTCGTATCTCTCTTGCGAAAGACAGAGAAAAAGAGGCGAGGTAAAAACAGTGGCATGAAAAAGAAATTTTTGCGGGGAGCAATTTGAAAGATATGGCCGATTCTCCGTGAAGTCGAATGGCCAAAAAATTTTTTTTTCTGCAAATATGAAAAAGTTGTTGTTTCCGATGTCAGGAATGTCCCCAAATTTTATTAGAATTTTTGGGACCGTCTATCACCCTTTTTCAGAGGCCCAAAGTTGGCATTTTTTCGAAATTCATGGTTATCGCAAATATTAAAATAATTTCTATCTCAGTATAGAGCGATTTAAACAAAAAAACGCTACAGAGATTTTTTGTTGGAAATTGTCTAAATTTTCAGAAAAAAAATATTCCAGAGTGATCCGAGCACTCTAGCGGCTTGTACGATGAAAATAAACAAAAAACTCAAAATCTACTCGAGTTCGATCCGGACTTTCATCTCCAAAGTCATTCAAAAAGCTTCCTCAACATGTCAACTACTACCAAAAAAATTTTTGTAATGGGCCTTAAAGCCTAACGGCCTGCAGACGCCGAAGAGTGCCGAAAAACGTGCAAAAAACGTCGAAAATAGGCTGTTTTTAGCAATTTTCCGCTTGGCGTGTTCTTTGATCAATTCTAAACCCTTTTTGTTTTATAACTTTTTCTGGTAAAGT